CCGCCGCAGCAGTAATTGAGAATGCGATGCTGACTAACTGGAAACTCTGTAGTGATGACAGAGCTTTACTGCTTGGCTGTCTTGGTATGGCTTGGCATCAGGCAGGAGATATAGAAGAACAGGACTTGCAGTGATGTGGGAGGCAGTCGCAAATCGAAATATAGGTGATGAACTGGCAAGGAGAGCCTCCTTCGAGATATAGGCCGACAGTCGAACGGATCTTATCTCAGCCTCTTCATCACACCCGGGGGATGATAACGATCCCTGTCCTTCACGAGGGAGGAACACCTACTAGGTAGGTAGTATGGGATAGCTACGTCCCTTGAGATCTGGCCTTCTTGACTGAACTTGGCGCGCGGGGGGACTTCGGTGTATTCGAGATTTCGTGACAAGGGGGGCCATGACTACACTTATATGGTATATCTTTCCTGAAATTTAGATGCTGTACAGAAGCGACGGTAAAGACTCCACAACAAGAAGAGATCAGAAGTTTATTTCAGATGGTGTTCCACTTTCCACTCCGGATTCAGAAGCTGCTCTGTGCCACATGTGAATTTGATATCTTGACACAGTACAGCAATATGCCAACTTGCAGCATATCATCATACTAAAGCCCTAGTGCACTTAATGTAGGGCTGACCCTGGAGTCATCCGAGTGAAGATCTAACGGTCAAATACGACTCTGTATCGTCAGCAAGAGACTAATAATAACAAGAAGGCGCTAGAACATGTAACAGCTCATTCCCCTTCGCCTACGTTAACTAAGTGCTAGAGCTCGAAGAGGAAGATGAGCGACACTGCCCACGTTTTGTGAGAAGGACTAAGGTATTGGCACGTCTGGACTCTAGACAAGATTGTACTTCAATTTGTACTTCATGTGGCGTGAGTATCTCCTGGGGCTCTACGTGAGGCAATCTGTGGCTGGTTATAGTTGTTATAAGGTTTACCCGGGCTATTTTATCACGGAGGGTATCACAACGAAAGATTGTTTACCTTGGAGATTCTCAGGATTATATCTCGCGGTGAGTTCCCTTAATAGTTGAATTAATTATAGCCCATAATGGAATTCAGATATGCTTCAACTTCCACCAATTGAAAAAAGCCAAATGAATAAAGAGCAAAGCAGGACTGGAAGGCCAGATACGTGTTACTCAAAGCCTGCCATATCACTCGCCAAAATAAGGACATCCCGGCATCGGCAGGACAACTATTTATGATACATCGTTATAAGCGACAGTTGGTTTATTCAGAATTACGGACGGCCGTAAGAAAATTGCCTGTTTACAAGGTGAACTCTCTGCTACGCTAGACTAGCTTCTCTTCGTTTTTTCCCTACCTTAGCGGGATCCCAAGGTGGCTAACAAGGCTTGTACCAGGACTGCAAGTCTTGTACAAGGGTTGCAAGGCTTGTTCATTCTGCAAAGGGTTGCCCAGGTTGCAAGGTCTGCTAACAAGAAGTATTCTGCCATACAAATTGTATGTTTATATACATGCACTTAAAAAATGCAAAGAACCTCGACAACTTTTTAATTTTGCGTAGTCTGACACAACCTACCCTACACTTTGTCGACTACCTGCATAACACTCAGTTTTGTAAACCAATGCCCACACACACACACACAAGCCCACACACACACCCACATCCACACACACACAACCCACACACACACACACACACACACACACGCCTACACGCCCACACATCCCTGCCAATTGCTTCCGAGACTTTAACTTCTAGGCTCCGGGCCACACGGGCGCAGGGGCTATTAAATACAGTCAATTATATGCGCATTTCTATAGCCTACCAAGTACTCCAAAGCCCCTGTGACCGTGTAGCCCGGAGCCCAAAAGTCGGAGCCTTAGAAGCAATTCGTACATGTACTGCCTGCCCAAGGCATACAGAATACAGAATTATGTGTATAAGTGCCCTTTCCAATCCAGAATCTAATACTAACTTGCATTACAGAATACTTCGATCTTAAATAGGCCTTGTATGGTCTAAATGGGCTTTGTCCCTTTGTGTGGCCACTGGCCAAAATCGGCCCTGTCCCTTTGTGTGGCCGGAGGGGCCTTGTAAGGTCTGGTCCCTTGTGTAGTCGAAATGGGCCCTGTCCCCGTGTGTGCCAAAACAGGCCCTGTGAGGTCTGGTCCCCTTGTGTGGTCTAAACAGGTAGGCAGGTAGGTAAGTCAGGGCAGAGTATTAGCTTGAAAACTATGAGTTTTGGTGTAAAAGTGGGCTATGCACAATTCTTTTTGGTAGGTTATTTTAGGTAGAACCGTAATATAAAATTTTCCTGCAATACAGTTATAGTGGCTTCAGTGGCTATATATAAGGCAGTTATAGGGGGCAGGTTTGCAAGGCTTGTTCAATCTGCAAGGCTTGTTACCCTTGCACAAGACTTGCGCTCTTTGTCAGGCTTATAAACCCAGCAAGGCTTGTTAGGAACCCAGGGTTCCCGCTAAGGTACCCCTTCGTAACCATGTGTTAAAATGATTAGGACCAGTCTAACTTTGACCTATTGACTATCCCACGTAAGGGCGCACCTCTAATGCTCGGTGTTTAAGGAGATCTTCGAAACCTTTCGGCTCTATACGTGCCATGCGAATGCTTGATTCAACCAAGAGCCTTGTCGCTCTCATAAGATTACTGTCTCTTATATCTCTTGATGCGATACGCTGGCGATATGGCCTGTTAGCTTGTACTGTAGACTTTGTAGTGCATAGCGAGATTGTCGTGACGGCCAGCTTTGGGCGGAGAAGCGCTTAACATCGCAAAACTCGACAGTTCTGATGGATAGCGACCCGGAGCGAGAACACGACGACATATCCTGAACATCCTCAAGAATAGAGAGCTCTCGGGACGGCCGCAGCAAGTGACGGTCTTTGAGTGTTTAACACCTGCTATCATATGCCTGACACCAGTTTCCCTATTCCTAGCTCAGGTTGAGGCCGCTGTTCACGCCACGGGACATCTGACTGGTTCAAGCTCGGGAATGTGATATATGACCTCCGTGAAGCGGTAGAATCTAAATGAAATGTGATTGCGGCCATTGGGCCTACACCCTCAAGATGGGTCATCACGGGTACCGAAGAGAATATTATAAGCTCCAGACTCTTCAGCCAAATACTATTCATCTCAACAGACGTCAATACCTTGCACGGCAGAACATTTCTAGTACGCTACAGGCATAGGATTCCCGCAGGGACAAAACTTGAATTCGGGTATAATACGCAGCACAAAAAGAGTTATTTCCGACATCAAAGTGCTACAGGATGATAAGGAGAAAGGAACTGTGCCATTCATTATCAAATCAAGTAGCCAAACGCCTCGAGAAGTTCTAGAATAAATCCCAACATCGATAAGATTAGCAAGGGAAGCCACTACCTCCTTACCTGGTGATCATTAACTTTTGGAGAAATACTTTTTTATGAGGAAGTAGTGTCACTGTCACTGAAAAGCCGATTATCATTCTTAAAATAGATTCTATCTCCAGATCGTTAAGCCTCACTCCGCTATAGGAAAATATCTGGATACTCATTTAAGAGAAATAAAGTCAATTCAGCACATCACTGTCCTAATTAAGCACATCTGGACTGTGCATCCGAAAAGCCAGATAAGGAAGCTGTTACAATGCCTGCCGATCATGGGGCCAGATACAGAAAGATCTCCCATTATCCCATTTGCCTTCAAAAAAGGCAACCTTCGTACATAATAACCCCCTACCTGCCTGAGTATGCGTCGAAAGCTACCTCTTTCTTGCAGGTTTCCTGAAAATATGCATGCATACATACATCTATATCCCCTGTTGATCATGGACAGGACTGGCTTCCCTATCCATGTCAGCCAGCCCGTGGCTGATTCGACTACACCCAACGCCGCAGCCATACATGAAGTATGTAATCCGCGGCACACAACGCCTACCTATCGGATATAACTGACAAGCACACACAGTACAGCGTCGAAATTACTGTATCGAAGCAGGTAACTGGCGCAGCTGGTTTTATATATCTCTACGGCATAGTTTACCCTGCCCGTGTCCGGCACGGTGCATGAACCGCAATGGCGGCTTACTGAGATGGGAACGCACATATAGAGATCATAGATAACCCATATACTACATCCAAGCACATGAGATGCACGGCTATAGACCGGCACGCCATCGGATTCAAGGTAGTAATAGTAGATAATATAGGACATGAACTAAGTGCTCCTCTAATTCAGTTAGTAAGCCAAAACTTGTTCTGGGATGGCGTCCTGAATGTATGATGAGTCCGCGAAACCGCCAGGATATCGAAAGATATCCTATCTAGATAGACCGCTGTGCCGGATGTCCACTTGCCGTGTAGTTAACACGCCGGTCACTAGACCGAAAAATGGGTGGACGGGAAATAAGCAGCAGCAGCCGGACTGAATCCCTTCCCGTTATTTCCCGTCTTGCTGTACCTTTTCACATGTCTTTTTAGACTTTGAACCAATGAACACTTAAAAAGTATACCCAACATATTCCCGGCACCTTTTGCTCAAGAGCCCCTATCCATTGAGCCTTCAGTTCTCCGCGCGTCTTCTCCTGAGTGTCAAGTTCAGCACGCCTGCATGAAGCTGGGCATATAGATTATAACATAGGTAGGCCAACTTATTAGGTCTTGAAAAGTCATCAGGCACGCACTGATACTAAACCCTTCTAATCAATTTCTGCACCGGCAGCAGCTAGAGCTAAGAAAGAGACAATAATAAGTTCTACATGAAGGAAGGAGGTTCAATACGCTGACTAACCAGTTCACTTGCTCAAGAACCGCGGTTAAGTACATGCATGTAAGTATGTACTGCTGTAAACAGGCGCAGACGTCAAAAGAAAAAAAAAAAAAAAAAAAAAGGTCGAACAAAACCTGCCTCTTATATAATCAGAATCAAGCAAGAAGGGACAAAAAGAGAAATCAAAAGACAAGGGAAAAAAAGAGGTTGATAATCCTTAGTTTGTCCAAGGAAGCATCAGGAATTGAGCCCGATGCGGGGGTCGAACCTGTTCATGATTTTGTTAGTTTCATTTCGAATCTCATCACAATCTCAAGTCCAAGTTAAGTAACTTACCCGCAACCTTGAGATTAAGAGTCTCACGCTCTACCGATTGAGCTAACCGGGCGAGCACAGTTCACTGCTGTTGTTGAGACGATTTTGATAAAAAGGCCATTTATTCTGCCGTTCGTGGGTTCTTGAGAAGGGCAGCTTGGTTTACGGCGAGTCAGGCACATGTGCTAGGGTACATACTGCTCTCCAGCAATAAATTATGTCAGTATCTACAGCAAGTGAGCGCAGATGCCAAGGACGGAACACAAGAAAATTGTATTCCTCGTTGGAAATGGAATGAATGCACCATGTAGAAGAAGAAAAAAAGCGAGGTGGACCAAGCAGGACCAGAATATCTAGATAAAGCAACATTTTGGTTGTCAGTCAGCCATTCTAGCTGGGACAGTGTTGTATCTAGGGCTGAACAGGTACCGAGCTCAGCGCTGCCAGCCCTACTTGTACAGCAAATGTCCTGACCCAGAAAATCCCAACACCAGAACAAAACAATTGCAGACAGACAAACAAACAACAGTATAGAGGAAAAAAAGAGAAAAATGAAAAACAATTAACTCCCCCGGACAGGCTTGAACTGTCAACCTCTCGATAACCTGTCTTCTTCTTGCGAATTAACAGTCGAACGCGCTAGCCAATTGCGCCACGGAGGATAAGTTGGTAAGTAAGTATTGAACTTGCTTGATGGCGACCGGGGTCTGAAATGGAACTACATTCTCGGCACTCCTAGTCTAGTCAGGACTCTTACAGCTCCGTCCCAAAACCGACAGACAGTCTTCTGCAAACTACAGACAACTGAATATATATATGTATTGGATATAATGTTTAAGCCTGGGCCTGCAGGCGCTGAACCAGCGTCTGCTGACTACCTAAGCGGGGGGGGGCCGGTTTTATAACACTCTGGTTCCAGAATGTCGACAGTGTGTTGTATACATGCCAGGGGGTATACGGTCTGGGGGTGCCAACATAATACTGCGGGGAAACATTAGTTTTAGCATTTTCAGGACTTTTAATGTTGGCCTGTAAACCATGTTACGCAGCAATACGATGTTAGAACTCTGTTGGCAGAATGTTATTGCAATACAGGAAGGCGTATTTGAAGTCGTGTTTGAAAAGCCCAAGGGCGAAGGAGGTCTCCAAGACAAAACAGAAATGACCTTATGTGTATAAAGTGCAGTTTATTCAACTGCGTAATAACACGCATGCCACAAGGTGTTGAAAATCTGGCTTTATTACCTTAAAACGTAGAAGAGAGAGAGAGAGAGAGAGAGAGAGAGAGAGGAAGGGAGGGAGGGGAACACCATAGCGTCAGTATGTCATTCTCCCATATGCCTTGGTATCACCTCCAAACTCCTTAGATAGCAATAGATACTCAGGTGATAGCGGTGCAGCTCGACCATCTTCCCTTTTGTAAGATTTAAAAGCAGCATTGCCAGTTTCTGGTGGACATCGGAGATCGTGAAGATATTGCTGGGTAGATTGCCGAGGTATCTTCGCTACGATTCCGGGTCGGGACTGCGATGGCTGGATCGAACATTGGATTTGAAGAAGGGATATTCTCGTCTGGTCTCTCCCCGATGGGAGGTTGAGTAGTGACGCAGGTGGCAGCCTCCAAGAATTTCGTTTGCGCTGGGTGTGTCTCTGTGTCAGCGTGAAGTCTGTTGGAATGCAAGAGCCGGCTTCATTGATACCACGAAGAGGTTGGGGAATGTGTGTTAGGGCCGGAAGAGATGGAATACAAAATTCATAAATCCTTGCAAAGTGTATGAAAGTATATGTGACTGAGCAACCCCGACATGGAATGAAAACACACAGTATTGGCTTTGTATGAAATAAATAGGCCTGTACAACCGGCTAACCGCTTTCAACGAATCCGCACCCGGCTCTGTGGATACGGCCATAGCTGGACCAACAACAGTGAGAGAGACTCTAGATACTCAACGACGCAATGGTGCAGTGAAATTGGTAGGAGTCTGGAAGAATGTGGAGAGGAACAACGAGAAGGTGGTACGGGGCGGCAAATGGCCAAATGGTGTGTAGAAAGGGAATGGACCAAGGGAGGGGGCGCATTTTCGGCAGCATCTAACCTAGATATTCTTGATCTATAGGAACTACAAGCATTCCTTCACCTGGAGTGGACAAAGGGGTCAACTACAGTCCTTCTGGCACATAACGGTGAGAAGGCAGATTCATCTGCTTCAGCATGAGCAGGGATCGGGTTTGTAGTTTCGTGCAACGCAGAAAGAACAAAAGAGCTGGCACGCCGGCGCCTCAGACGGTGGTATCCCAACATGCCATAGCTGCAGCGGTATCTCCTGAGGAGGGCCAGTACCCGCAGGAGAGCGCGTAAGAGAAGATGCCGTCTGGCGCGGAGCCGGGACGTGCAGTGCACCAAATCGACGAGAACGTCCAGATTCCTCAACCTACAAGGGGTGATGGGCAAGAGGACGTCCACCGACAAGTATAAGAAGGCAGAAGCCACCCCAGGTTCGAAGGTCAGTGGAATCAAACATCATCTAGTACTGGCTTCGCATCGAGAATACCCTGGCGGCTGGTCCTTTTAGCTCTTTTCACAGGAAGTCTTGTCATATCATCGAAGATACCCAATTGAAGATACCCAATATGGCCCGTTTTCCCCCTTCACGATCCTCGCCCGGCCAGGCAAACCCTTAAAACGCTACCGAGCCTTACTTCCCAGGCTACGACGAAAGGCCCCCTTTCAATGACAACGACCCGCCGAAACCGAATCCCTTTTTCGCAGCAAACCCCTTGCTATTAAAGGTGATCAGACAGATGGACAAGAGATCGAGTAAGTTGCAATATTCTCCAACATCGGATTGCATGCTCTTCCCTTGCTTTTCGTTTCCCATCCACGTAACTGAGTGGTGTTAATGGTTTTGTTTAAATAAATAAGTGAATGAAGCGATCAAGAATAGGTTTCCAGAGTTCTGGCACGATTTCGGTCTTGGTCGAAACCGTGAATGGGGTGCTGGTCCGATGGAACTTGCAACCATGGAGAAAAGACAGCCGAGGGGATCGATCTGAACTGGCAGATAAATAAGATCGCCAGATTCAAAGATTTTTACTGTCACGACGTGGTATGTATTTGCAATGTACCTTCCCAGTGCGTGTTCCAAGCATATTTTTGCTTAATTGGGTTCTGAAAAAAAAATAGGGCCCTGGAAAAAGAGGTCGGGAAGAATCCCTTCAGCGCCTTGGACCTTTCCTGCACTCCGTGGATGAAGAGATAAGGAAACGCGCCAAGTCATTCTACATCATAAGAGCTATAGCAGTTCTAATCCTGAGCTATTACTACTTTTATCGTAGCGGGCCACCCAACGAGAATGCTAAGGTCGAGTAAGAATTGTGGAACGTGGAGATTCGTTTCAATTTAGAATGGGACCAACATGGGCAGGCGGCCGGTGCATGGTTCTGTTTAAAGGCAGGTCATTATTGGGACTCATTCTGGCCGATTAATCAGAACTTGTCTGAAATCTGGGACCCTGAAATCAGTGCGGATAGTAAGTATACAAACCCTGCCAGGTCCACATCCCAGGCCTCTGTCACTCGAAAAGAAGCTTACTGGTGACAAGGGGTACTCCCCGACCTGAGCACAACTTGGGAAGACCCCCCTAGGGACAACAGTCACCCACTCGAACCGCGGCAAGCGCTCTATACCCCGACTTCTCGGCGCAACCCCGGCAATTACTTCACGCCAAAAAACAGTGAGAGGCCGAGAATCAAGTCAATTCTGGCAGACATGCGTGAGAAGATCGAAGAGGCTTTTCAGGACTGGCTATCGGTTCTCCCTCGCCCTATGACCATGGAGGAAGGGTCATAGGACCGGCCTGCCATGAGGGCGTCCAGGTCTCAGATGCCGAGTGCAGGACTTTGAGCCAGCCTTTTCGGATGCTGAAAGGATCATGATGGGTGTTCCGAAGCAGGAAGCTGCCCTCTTCTCTCTCCTATTTTCTCCCCTATGTTCTCCTTCATCTTTCCCTACCGGCAACAAGGGAACAGGAATCGAGAGCTCACGTTCCCTTTGTACCACAACATCGGCTCGAGTTCTAGCCATTCGCTTATCCATTCATCCATCTTCGCCCATTTTCCTCTGCGTTTCTTTCCTCCATCTTGTTATTTTCCTCCTCTCCGCTTCTTTCTCATCTTCAAGTTCCAATGAGTCGTTGCTCTTTCTCTCTTTCTTCTTCTTTTTTTTTTGAGTTCTTCTCCGTTCCTTTCCAGTCACTCATTTCGCGTCTCAACTATACTTAACATGCCCGCTGCCCCCTTTCCAGAATAGGCAGGAATAGGCATAATGGAAAACACTTTCTTTCTATCTGATCTCATATCCAGGACAACGTGATAACCTAGGCAGGATGTTGTGACCATTACATAATCAGGGGAATCTACAGTGGGCACAGCAACATGGGTCATCACTGTGGCATGCCTTTGTCGTCCCTGTCTGTCTTCGTAAACTTCTACATCCTATGATCCACTCACTGCCACCGTGCCACCCTTCATAAGTCAGAGTCTATAATCACTTCCCCAAAATACATACACTTCCAGCCGCCACCTCATCCACACATATCACTTGACACAAGCATGGCTATAGCAAGACACCGCAAAGGTTAAGGTAGGGTCATTGGCTAGCATCAAATTAACGTGTGGAATAGCTCACTTCATAACCGAACAAAAGCGATCGATCGAAACCCCTCCTAGGCACTTTCAGCCAATCACTCCATGTAAGGAGGTATAACATAGGGGAAAGCCCTCATTCCTCTAACCCGGATTCACAAGCAGCGATAACAAACAAAGGCTGATCAAAAGAACATGCCTAGAACCTCCCAACACGACCGATTCATGTCGGATCCGACCCGACAACTCCAACTCCTCCTCCCAGACAAGTACTTCCTTCCTTATCCCCCTTCCTGGGCCGAGCAAAAAACTCATTGTTGCTTCATCATTGCACTTTTTTCTGAATGTACAAAGTCAGCACAGCTCACACTCACGCAGTGTTCTTAATTTATATCAAGGGAAGAGGAAAACAAGGATCTCACTCACCCACTCACTCACTCAATCCAACTCCACCGCCTCATCCCATCCCTGACCCTCTGCAGACACTTCGCGAATCTGCCGCCCCCGGCGCGACAACCACAGCAGGAGATCCGGAGGGAGCAGAAGAGGTCTAGGACCGCGGTCAAGAGGACGTAGGCGATTGTGCCGAAGATGTTTTTCAGGCTCGTGAGTGTGGAGGTGAGGATTTCGTTCTCGTTATTGTCGGGGTTGGTCTTATTTTCAGTATTGTAATCTTGGGGCTTTTTGTTGCGGTACTTGGTATTACAGACACAACACAGCAGACAAGGCAGCAGCACGCCCACACTGATAGCGACTGCTAGGCCCGCGATGCCGAGCGGTGAGAGGTGGAACCGGGAGGTTGAGGTTGTGTTCGCGTCTTGGGCTTTGTACTCGTAGAATACCTCGGAGTATGATGAATGTGACGGGGCTGAGTTTGGGGTTGTTGGTATTGTGAGGATGTTCAATGTTGTATTGTTGTTGTTGCGGCTGGTGAGCATGTTGGGGAGTGTCATGTTCAACTTGGCGGTAGTGCTGCTATTCTCGAACCGATGATTGTGGTTGAGCATGCTGATACTTC